AGCAAACAGCCAATATTCAGCTGCCTTACCTGAAGTTTCAGAGTAGCAGCCGTGCCACAAGTACTCCTGTTCTTTTTACCTGAAGTTGTGGTAGGATTAACTTATCCAGAGATTCCACTTCTGGCTCTGGGGGGAACAGTCTCTATTCCTGAAGCCTTTGAGCTACAGCGGCTTGGATTTTCACTCCCAAAGCAGTTTCCTACCTGTCAGCCCTCCTGTCTGCAGTCACCAGCCTGGTGGTGGTAAAACTTAAAAGGCACTGACACCAGGACTGCCCTTATAACGGGTTCAGGTTGCCTTTAATGGTGCGCTGAGGTTTGGGGCTGTGGGTGTTCGCTGAGGAGTCTGGGGTGCAGAGTGAGCTCAGGCAGTGGATGTGGAGGAGGTGAGGGGGAAGACCCCCCCCCACCTTACCCTCAGAGACACATGATAGACTGAGGGAGCAGCATGGTCAGGGAAGCCAAGCCCGCACCCTGCCCACCCAAAACAGCTGCCTGCCTGGCTCCCTGCTGCCTGTGTCTGCAGCTGCTTGTACACAACCAGTAGCACCTCTTGTCCTGGAGGAGAAACAGCCCTCTTAACCCTGCCCAAAATGACATGGCCCTGCCCGGCCACCCTTTTGCCACCCAACCCATTTCCAGACCCCACCTCCAGGCACCCCTCTCCCCATCATTAAGCAGGACTGGAGGAGGTGCAGAGTCTGGGCTGCCCTATCTCATGGGTATGACTTTTCATCTCCAACCCAAACCTGACACTTATCTTTGGGTACTGTACCAAAGCATCCCAAACCCAACACCTATAGTCATGTCCCATCAGGTTTGGGTCAGGCGCAGGGCTCTACTCCAGTAGAACTATGGCATTACACAATTTTACAACTTCTCGAAGGAGCCAGGTGAGACAATACAAAGGCAGACAATGCTACATAGACATAGCATATCTGGGGCGGGGGGACGGGGACGGCAGGATGGGGAAGTAATAAAAGAGGAGAAGTGTCCACCTCTTTCAACAGCTGCCTGAGTGCTGGACACATCTTTGTTTGTTACTGTTCCAACAGACATCTGATCCCCTAGCTGTCATTGGGTAGCATGCTGCTCCACATATAGTGCCATTGAAATGACTTATGGTGTAAAGTACAATTCAGTGTGAGCAAGAGAATCCAAAGCTGCCCCTTACTCAGGCAAGTAATTTTTTCTCACAAAGAGGCAAGAGGGGCAGGGCTTAGCACACGGCCCCCTCCTTGGCATCTCCCATGGGCTAGCTTGGTCATCTCCTGGCAAGGGCTGGCTTTTATGGATCCCATATCCCTCCTCATTCATTACATAGAGGCCTGGGCACCTCACTCAGGCTTTGTGGATCCCAGTGATTTTCTAGGCACCTAAGAGTTAGAAGTGTTGATGCTTAGTGCCTAAGGGCCGGTCTACACTGAAAACTTACATCAGCAGCGCTACGACTCTCAGGTGTAGCCATGCCCAGCTAACCCTTGGTGCAGACAGCGCTAGATCGACAGAAGAATTCCTCCAGCGACCTAGCTACTGCCTCGGGGGGGGGGGGGGGAGGTAAATTACATACAAAACCCCTCCTGTCACTGCAGTGAGTGTCTACACTGAAACCCTACTGCTGTGCTGCTGTAGCATTGCAAGTGTAGACATATCCTACATCCCTTTGTGAATGTATTCCTTTGTGCTCTCACTTACTGTGGAACAATCAGCTGGTGGTGGAACACAGCCAGGCTATTTCTAGCATTGAGGCACACGAGGTGAAAAATGATGGGACATTATTTATTTATGTAATATTCATCACACAGAAGGAAAGAGGGTTGTAAAATGTTATTGTCACACACAGCACAAGAAAAAAATATTTGTAAATTAAGAAGCAGTAAGAAATTCACCATTATAAATAACAGGCCAGATTCTAGCCTCCGTGTAAATGTGGAGTAACATCATCAGCTTAGGTAAAGTTACTCCACTCTTACCAGGGGTGTAAATGAGATTGTATCATGGATCACAGCTCGGCACAAAATTCCTTTCTTACTTCCATTCCTTTTCTATACTAGGAGAACTGACAAAGAAAACGTGCAGACACATTTGTGTGCCAGGCAGCTGTAATATTATAATTCTGCACAGTGTAAATTTCTGTGTGACACTGGTGTAGGGTGACCAGATAGCAAGTGTGAAAAATTGGAACAATTTTTGGTGGGGTGGGGGTATAGTTGTGTATATAAGACAAAGCCCCTAATATCGGAATGGTCCCAATAATATCGGGATGTCTGGTCAATCTAGAGTGATGCCATGTGAGCATTGACAAACCAACATATATGTATGTATGTGTCTAAGAATCATATCTATCTATCTAATCTATCTATCTATCTATCATAACCTATTGTATATAAATCTATCTATCTAGCTAAGTGACTATTATCTACTGTGCATCTACTTATGTGTCTAATAATCATATCTATCTATCTATCTATCTATCTATCTATCTATCTATCTATCTATCTATCTAGGAACATTTTACCAAATTCATCATCCT